TACTACTACTACTACTACTGCTAATACTACTACTAATACTACTACTACTACTAATACTACTACTACCACTACTACTAATACTACTACTACTACTAATACTACTACTAATACTACTGCTAATACTACTACTAATACTACTACTAATACTACTACTACTAATACTACTACTAATACTACTACTACTAATACTACTAATACTACTACTACTACTACTTCTACTACTGCTCGTCGTCAGTCACTGCAGCTAGCTACGGCTAGCTGTGGGCCTCAGGCTTCCTCTCTGACCCTGCACCCTCAGCCAGCCCCCACCGTTTCCTCTGGTTTTATCTCTCTCAGAAGTGGCAACTCATACTATCAATAATTCGATGAGACGTCAATTAAGTTTTATCAGTTATATTAAAAAAGGCAGGAAAAGGTTACAGTTTCACAACGCTGGACTCTCTGGACTGTGACGCATTCACAGACCTGGAAGAGCCTCGATGTCTCGTGTCATTACTCATTTATAGGTTCCTAGAGCTCAACCTATCCGTGTATTAGGGGGCGTGACTAAGTGTGATCTTACGTGGACTGACGTGTTAGGAAAAATATGAGACGGTGCTTCAAAGCCTTTCTACGTGATGTGGCAAGCAGATTAAACTATTTGACTGATATTGAAATCCCAGGGAGACTCTCTTGAAAGCTGCTGGCCCAGTTTAACCCAGTCAGAACCGGGTCATAATTTAATTATAACCCCGTCTCTGAGCAGATCAAAATCATAGGACCAGTCTAAATAAGAAAATATCGTAACACTACTAATACTACTACTACTAATGCTACTGCTAATGCTACTGCTAATACTACTGTTAATACTACTACTAATAGTACTACTACTAATACTACTACTAATACTACTACTAATACTAATACTACTAATACTACTAATACTAATAGTACTAATACTAATACTACTAATACTGCTACTAATACTAATAATTTTTAATGAATTGTTTTGGCCCTGCTCTTTTAAAAGCATTTTGGTCAAAACTGTTTCGTTAATGCACTTATGACAAAATTTGGCTTGACAACAAAACTGTGGTGAATATTCCAAAACAAAGGTGGGCTCAGTAATTTAAACAAGTCGACAGTCTTTTGAGATGATTTATTAAAAAGGAATTCTTAAAAACATAATAAATAGAGAAGAAGAATGCTGCATTTCCAGGTTGCACATTCTTCAGTGTACAGTTCTGAGAAAGTTGCAGAGGAAGTGAAATAGAAAACAAGGATTCGATTAGTGGCTCTTGGTTCACACATATTCATACCTGCGAGCCAGTCATGTTCCAGGAAATCTCAGGTTCAGGGCGTTCAAAAGCCATCGTCTCAAGCTCTCTCCATTACTCGGAGCGGAAGTCATAGCATTACTTCACAAGATCCAGTAGTCTAAAAATAAAATTCTTATTTGCAGGAATTCATATAAGCTTTGGGTTCACAAGTATTAAAAAGTTCTTGGCATACACTCATAACGAAACACAGTATAAAATGTCCATTATAATATAATTCTTCATTCACATTCATATCTGCCAAAAATCAACACAGAACAGAAAAGGTTTTTAGAAAAAGTAAATGCAAATTTGACTTTACTCTGCGCACGTTTTTGGTAGAATGCATTTCTATTGTTCTATCATTTCAGTGAAAAAGGTCCACAGATTTTTCAAAGTCATAAAAATCTCTTTGAAAATAATTTTCATAGTTACATTTTTAAGTATGTAAGTTAAAAAATGTAAAATAAGAACTCAAATAATTTTTTTTTTAGACCATTACATAAAAGGATTTCCTCCTATTACTTCACCAGTGCTATAAAGTCAAACCGGTTGGTCTCACTCTTAGAAAAATCTGGTTTAATTAAAGCTGAACATTAAACAAACATCAATTGTTAGCCATGAATATTTATAATCATTCAATTCAATTCAGTTTATTTATATTATGCCAAGTCACAACGCAAGTCATCTCAGGGCACTGAACAGAAACAAACATAAAAATAACAATTTAACATTATTTATCTGAGGAGCAGGTTGCTTTGAGTTTAACCCAAACTTAGCTCTTAGCAAGGACAAAACATCATCATTCTCCCAGCAGACAAAGGAAGGTGCACAGTGATTTTGAACCAGAAAGACGATCATAAGAAAGTTTTGACACTCCTTAGTGTCTTAACCACTTATGAACCTCTGAAAAGAGATCCAGGAAGTGGTTACAAGAATAAGTTGATAGATTGCCAGAAAATTTTGGAACAGGACAAGGCTATTGACCGTTTTCTGTACCACTGACTGTACGCAGGGGAGGCCACACCTAGTCTGTATGGTTTACCTAAAATCCACAAACAAGGTGTACCTTTAAGACCAATTGTTAGCATGATTAACTCTGTCACTTAAAATGTTTCCAAATATCTGGTGTCTGTACTCATCCCTTTAGTTGGCAGCTCAGAACACCACATACAGAACACCATGGACTTTGTGGACAAGATGAGGGAGGTCATCATGGAGACTGATGAAACAATGGTCTCTTTTGATGTCACATCACTCTTTACGTGCATTCCTGTTGATGATGCAGTAGAGGTGGTCAGTTTAAGATTAAAATCAGACACCACTCTGAGCAGCAGGACCACGCTTTCCACAG